GGTAATACACCATATTCCAAAGAGAGCTCCTCCAGGATGTGCTGCATGATAAAAAAAATTACCATTCTAGGATCCTTCCTGTTACATCCGTGGCAATAATGGCTTTTAGGGCATTCCCTGCTGTGAACGTGTACATGGAAGAAAGCTAATGGCGAGCCTTCCCCTGGGGTTTTAGTGCCGACAGCAGCAGGGACAGTCGTGATTGTGCCTGATGCACCCAGTGATGGTCCATATCTTCCTGTGGCAACTTTGTGCACATAACTGACAAAACGAAATAACGCCTGTAGGTAAGTACACTGCCACGAACTGCTCTTGACCCAGAATGTTCACTGTTCTGGAGGTGAAGCTCCATAAAACATACATATTTGCTGCCATGTGAAACAAGGAGAAGCAACTGAATGTTGACTGCAGCACTGGAGAACAAAGGACCTTTGAGGCTGGGTTGGAAGTGAAATATCTGATCATCGTCCGCTGCAGAGAAGATACCCTCCCCAAACAGAATATAAAAATATTTGCAGCTATGACAGCTGTCACAGTCCGCTGGCCATCACTGAGCATATTCCATCACTTACTTGTTAACTTCCTTTCTGAAGTCTCCTTCCTTTTGTGGTCTTATGCTATCCAACCAGTTAGCTTTTATACCATCAAAATAACTCTGGACCCTGGATTTCAGTGATTCATCTTTCCAAATGTCAGCTGACCCAGATGCACAGCCTGTAAACCCAACAATAAAAACAAAGGCTTTACAAGAGTCAGTATGGGATAGAAGGATAAAAGGCTGCTTTGTCTACAGGAGGAATCAAAGCAGTTCTCTTATGTGCTTCACCACTTGTTCTTGTGTCTGGTCTTTAAGGTTCAACCTTCCTGGGTGCTTTTCTGAATCCACATTTTTGCTGAATAAGAAAGCTAAACCTAGAGCACTAGTGAGTACCATGTTAAGTGTCCCTTCATGGTTGCCCAAAATGTTGTCACAATTCAATCTAGGGAGATCTCCCTGCATGCTGTGTGAGACCTCAACTCATGGAGGGTCCTTGACTGATTGAGAAAAAAAGTCATGAGCAGGTTGAGCAGGTACAAGCCAAGAGTAGTTTAATAAAGCAAAGTACACACTCAAGGAGGGAGTGTGGGCATGCTCCAGAGTGAGCAGCTGATAATCAACTTTTTTTAAAACTGCAAAAATACAGAAGGATTAATTTTAGGACACTAACTAAAAATAACCAAAGTTTAATTACAAAAAAAAACATGAAAGGCCAAGCAAGGCAGTTTTGATATGGCCCAAAACAAAAACCAAATCAGTTGTTGGGTTCTGGGGAAAGAGCTCTGTGAAGATTTGGGGTGTCGGGGGTTCATCAATGGCCCAACTCAGCTGTTTTATAAACCCAGGCATCATAGGTTCCATGGATTGCTGAGGATAACCAGTGAATTGTGGCAGAGCCAGGCCTGAGCCCAGGTTTCTTTATCTACAGTTTTTCTTTCTTTGCTTTATCTGGGGAAGAAGTGAAGTAAATAGTCCCTGCAGTGGGAAGAAGTCACCATTATGAAGGGGGAAAAAGAGGCAGAAAAAGGAGGCTTTGTGTTTGTGTATGTTCAGTGAGGTTTCCTATAAAATTTCCTTTAGTTTGTGATGTAGTGATTTGGGTGGGGCTGACCCAGAGCAGTTTCTGCCCTAGTTACAAAGGGCTTTGAAAGTCCTGTTGCTTGTTGCATCGTGCCCAACAAAAATCTTGTTGAGCAGCCTCAGTACAGTGCCTTGTATAGAGCGATTGGTGGATAAATGCTGGGTGAGTTAAAGTGTAGTGGCTGAATCATAAATCAGATTTATTGCATTTCTGGTAAAGAATTGAGTATTGTCTCCATTCTGAAATTTGAGGGACACTGTGCTAAAATATCTGCTTAGACTTATAAGAAAGTTTTATTTCAGCTAATTTCTTAGGATGCATATGCTCAGAACCGCCCCCCTTCCCCACCCCCCAATAGAGAGTAAATAAGGGGGAAGGTTCCTGAAGAGACGCTTGCTATGCTTCCTGCAGTTTGTGTGCCCCAGCGACCTGCCTTGGGATTTGGTACTGTCCCTCTGTACCTAACACTTCCTCTTGGCCGTTGTCCTCTGTTTCCTCCACAAATAAAGGTTCTCTGACTTCCTGTCTTTAACCCTCTGAATCCATAACTCTTCTTACCTCCTCCTCTTCTGCCTCTCTCACCTCCTCTTTATGGCAGTTCTTCTACCTGTTTCCTGAATCCTTCCTTCTTTCCTTATGGGAAAAATCATCTTTCTTCAGGTGTTGACTTTCTGTCAGCTTCTTCCCTCAGCATATACACCCCTCTGCTCTGTAGGCTCCCCAGCCAGAGAGTCATAGCCTCTGTCCTCCTCCCTTTTATGACTGAGTTGCTTGGGTATGAAGGGTAGTCTTGCAATCATTCAATTTTCTTACCTTTTCTTCTCTTTAACTCTCTCTGAAACTGCACAGGCAGTCAGCCTCTTAATTTGTCATTCCAAAGGCCCGTCTCAGTGCCTCTGTTGACTTTTCTGCAGCAGTTCATGTCGTTGCTTCCATCTCCCTGGCACTCCTGGCTGCCACCTCTTTTCTTTGGGGTGTGTGTGTGCTCACAGGATTAGGTGTATTTCATTCTGACTTGACCTCCCAGCTCAGAGCTCTTTCCTGAGCACCAGACTTGTCCTCACTGGGGATCCTGTCCATACCTCAAACTCAACATGTTCAAAGCTCTGCAGTCCCCAGTTTCTTCCTCTATTCCTGATTTCATTATCTACCTAGGTCAGAAGCTAAAAACCTTGGTGTCATACTGATTTTGATTTCTTATATCCTTAAATACAGTATCACCAGCCACCTGTTTCTCTTCCATCCTCTCAGCCACATCATCGGCAGTATTCCTGGTGCTGTTTTTATTGATTTATTTTTCTTTACTAGGAAATCTTTCTTCTATAGCTCACACACTTCCACTGCCCATACCAATGGCTCTGGTTTTGATTCTCCTAAATGAGAACATAAGCCACAAGCCAAACTATTTTAAGTTGGAGAAAGATGTAAAGCATATAAAATACTACAGGGAAATTGAAGAAGGTGAAGACTGAGAAAAAAAATATTGGATTTGGTCATTTGAATAGCATCTGGGGATAGTTTTGTAGTATAGTGAAGACTACTTCACACCCATTTCTCCTTTTGTTTAGGAGACAACATTCAAGTGGTAGGTACCCTTCCAGTCATGTGAAACTTTGTTGTCAGGGTCCACCCTCAGCCTTGCTACTTTGTTTAGTTTATTAAGTTTTGCTAATAACACCTCCATATTCTCTCATTTGTGTCCCTTTCATTTTTTTCCTCCCTAAATTTTAGTCTTTGTAAATCATCTTTTTGTTATAATTCACATCTAATCAAGCTATGGTCATTCTTCTTTGTAATCAAATCATAAATCGATCCCTTCTTTTCATCTCCTATTATCATTATCTTAATTGGACAATATAATAGACAGATTTTCATTCTTTGATCACTGTTTTGTTTTCAGTTTTAACAACATTGACCACCCTCATCTTCCTAACTCTCTTCTCTTGACTTTTGGGACTCCATTCTCCTGCTTTATTTTCTTGCCATATCTTTGATGGCCTCTTCTTGGTCTCATTTGAGAGCCCCCTAAATATAGAGGGCCTCTGCATTCTGTCCTCTGACTTGATCTCTAATGATTATGTCTGAGCAGTCTCAGCTATCCTCATAACTTTAATTATCACCCATCTGTTGATCCCCAAATCTTTGCCCTCAGCATAGACTCTTCCATTGAGCCCCGGATGTGTGTTTTAATTTTTCTTGGAGATTCCATAGAACTTCACATACAATGGGTTTGAAAGGGACTCATCACCCTATTTCCTAGACTTTTTCCTTTTTTATTTTGTTTTGATGAAGGGTCTTACCAATTGCCCATATCCAAACAAGACACCTGAGTGACATTAATGCCTCCTACCCCACTCACTGCGTTCGTTCTTTAGGTCACATATCCTGTCAGTTCTCCTGCCTAAATTCCTGAGCCTCTCAAATCTGCCTTCACATTTCTGTCCTCACTGCTTTAGCTTTGACCCTCAGTATTTCTTGCTTCATCATTTCATTTGTCTCCTAACTGCTCTCTCTTTGCAGTTACCTCCCCTCTTTTCTCCCCATTTCTAAATCCGGTACTCAAAGCTGGAATCTGAGTGCTTACTTATTACATCTCATTTACATGTGAAATGTTATGCATACATTCTTCTGTAACCATCACACTAAATAATTTTTGTCCTTTTTACTTTGGAAGAGAGTAGGCCCAGGCCTCACAAATAGTGGTGGACAGAGATTTGCCAGGTTACATCCTCCAGAGCCTGTCATCTTAATTAACCAGTTCACTTACAGCCTTTCTCTGGCTGCTCCTCTTTGCATACTCTTGCCTTTGGAAACAAGTCTCTATCACAGCCCACACTCATAATTGGGGGTTAAAGTCCAACTCCCGGAGGTGAGATGGTAGACATAAATTATTTGAAATTATTCTATAAGAAGATTTATTTCCCCCGTGTATTTATTCACTCATTCATTTATGTTATACAGACTTGTTTATTTTATACTTTGGTTTATAATCCAATTTTATGTTACTTATTTAACCAATTCTCATTTATAAGATGTTTAAGTTTTTACCAATTTTTTGCTATTTATAAAGCCTTATGAATGAATTAGAAGTCTTGGCATGATGTTTTGATGGTTTCCTTTAGATATATTCCTCAAAGTAAGATTGGTGGATAGGTGCATTTAAGTTTTCCATACATGTTTCTGGAGGTGGGGTTTTTATATTGAGCATCTGTTTTTGTATTGCTGCCTTTCTGGGAAGTGTTCTCTAACACTCTTGAGATCTTGTATCCCTTTTGGGATTATAAATAGTTTATCTTTAAAGACAGGAACCCAAAACTACTCATGCTGATTTATTTACTTAATTTATTTAATTATATGAAATATAAATAATTATATTTATAGAGTATTGTGTCAAAGAATGCACTACAATATCGAGGAAGTTCCCAGCACGATGCCCAGGAGTTTCTACTGTGGCTTTTGGACCGAGTTCACGAAGACCTCAATCATGCTGTGAAACAGAGCGGCCAGCCTCCTCTGAAGGTGAGGGCACACACCTTGGCGGGGCGACCAGGAGCAGTGAGCCGGGTGTTCAGCGGCTATTTAGTAAATGGAATAAGGAGAGAGTGTAGATTCTTCTCCCAGACCTCTACTGAGTTATTGCAGTTTACATTGAGTTAATAAAGTGAAATTGAGTAAGCTCTTGGTAAGTATAAAGTTCATGGCTACTTAGAGAATTTTCCCCATGTTTACTACTGTGTTGGCTGTGTGAAATACAAGAAACACTGTCTCTAAGGAACTTACAATCTAATGAGAGGAGGAACATGCATGCATGCCTGGCTTTACGTTAAAATAAAGTGATTCCGTTTCACTAAGCTGTTTTTAAATCAGCTTTGCCTTCTACTCCAGTGAGACACATAGCCTATAGATCACTGGAATGAGTACACAATTAAAAAGGAAACCAGTGGATGTTTCTGCAGTTACAATTGTATTTGAGTATAGGAACTGAATCCATAGAATATTCTCAATTTTTTTTTTTGAGAGGGCGTCTCTCATATTTATTGATCAAATGGTTGTTAACAACAATAAAATTCTGTATAGGGGGGTCAATGCTCAATGCATAATCATTAATCCATCTCAAGCCTAGTTCTCGTCAGTCTCCAATCTTCTGAAGCATAACGAACAAGTTCTTACATAGTGAACGAATTCTTACATAGTGAATAAGTTCTTACATGGTGAACAGTACAAGGGCATTCATCACAGAAACTTTTGGTTCTGATCACGCATTATGAACTATAAACAATCAGGTCAAATATGAATATTTGTTTGATTTTTATACTTGGTTTATATGTGGATCCCACATTTCTCCCTTCATTATTATTATTTTTTTTATTTTTTAATAAACTGCTGAAGTGGTAGGTAGATGCAAGATAAAGTTAGAAAACATAGTTTAGTATTGTAAGAGAGCAATTGTAGATGATCAGGTGTGTGTCTGTAGACTATGTGCTAATCTGAGCTAGACAAGGGCAATTATTCTTAATTTTTATGCATGTAGCCTTAATATGGATAAAATAATTTATATAATGGAAATAGTTAAGACTAAAGAGTTGCTTTCCTCTCTAACGGTTCAAAGTCCAGTCTAGAAGACTAAACAGTTCAAAGTCCAGTATTTTTAATAGTTCTTTTCCATACTTTAAATGTAAATTTCTAGTTTTGGTAAATTGTTAAATTATTCTGATTCAAAACCTGTTTGTGCCTGAATACTCTATACCTGTCATGTGACTATATGCTTGTGGCTGACTCTCCCATCAGGAATATTTAAGGTCAGGCACTGTCTTACTTATTTTTGTGTCCTAATGCCCCTTACAGTGTTCTCTGTACATAGTACCAGATGTTCATTAACTAATTGTTAGGAGGATGGACATGAAGATGTTAAGTAAAATAAGAAGTAGAGTGACTAGCACCAAAATGAGTGGGCCCGCTAGTAGGTGCAAGAGAATTTAGGCATGGAGGCATCAGTACTTTTGAAGTGGTTGGGATTATTCCCTGGAAGAGGTTGGTGGGGAAACTTTGAGAGTTGGGGGGGAATTGGGGCATCCTTGGAAAGGAAAACTGCCCAACTGCCTGGATGGGGTGGAGAGATGGATTTGTACATCCATGGGAAAGCCTGTAGGGATGAATCCATGTGCCCTGCCACCTGGCAGCTATGTCCCTGGAGCACCTTGACCTGACACAGCTTGTAAGGAAGTCAAGGACATTTATAACTTTTTCAGGTTCATTTTCAATCAAGATTTGGTACTTCTAGTCTGTGAAATTCTACTTTACTTTTTTTTAGCCACCCTCGGACACTGATATGCCCGAGGGACCATCTTTTCCTGTCTGTAGCACTTTTGTACAAGAACTTTTTCAAGCCCAGTACAGGTATGAGCAAATAAAAATGTTCCCTCATATTGTCTGCTTGACATAGCTCTTGGTGATCTTACTGTGTCTTATGTTTGTGTTCTTGAAGGTCTTCTTTGACATGTCCTCATTGTCAGAAGCAGAGCAACACTTTTGACCCTTTCCTCTGTATTTCTTTGCCAATTCCTCTACCCCACACAAGGTAAGAACAGATTTAGTAAAAGTAAGACTGTGCATTCCTGTGTGTTCCTTTTCCTTTGTAGGCTCCTGTTAGGTCTTCTTACTTATTAGAGAAGTAATGGGATTAGTTGTAAATTGAGTGCAGGAATTGTTAAAACCTTATAGAAATTTGTAAATGCCTGCTTGAATTTTCATGGGGAGTAGGTACATGGGGCAAGATCAGTTGGTCATCCATTGACAGTAGGGAGCGGGGGAAGGTTCTTGAGTGCCTTCTGGATTCTCTACAAACTTTACATTGCACTTTTAATGAGTTACTTTATTTGAACTGTTCCTCAGAAGTTTAAGGAGTTTTGCTGTTTTAAAGAAAATACAAAGCACAGAACCTAGTATTGATATGCTATATTTTGTTTTATTGCCTTTTCCAAAGATATCTTGATTATCATTTAGTAGTTCTACTTAGGTCCAAGTGAATTTTTTTATTTGGCTTACCAATAATGGTGTGGGTTAGATTCAGTTCTGTGTTGATTTCAGATCAGGTTTGTTTTGCTTCTGTATTTAGTTGAAGTAAGCAACTAATGAGAAGACCTGACTTTGATCTGTACAGGCCTCTCTATGTTACCGTCGTGTATCAAGGGAAATGTTCTCACTGCATGAGGATTGGTGTGGCTGTGCCTCTGTCTGGGACTGTCGCCAGACTTCGGGAAGCAGTGTCTATGGAAACAAAGATCCCCACTGATCAGGTAATAAGCCTGCTAAGTCTGATTATACATGAGTACAAAAGTGTTGTTTTCTGTTCTGGAATTTTTTAACAGTTCTGTGCCCAATATGGTTAGATAGAAATGTGAAACCAGTTCAGTCTATGTTGAGACCCAGAGGAGAAAAACACACATAAAAGCTTTTCATGCTTCATTTAATTATACATATAAAGCTGTGACTTTACACCAACACCTCTTAGTTTTGTTCATAAAGTGTAATTATTTAACCCCTCTTTAAATCATTCTTACAGTTGCTTATGTGGGCAATAGAGCATCCTTATGGTGTTGGAAGGGTGGAGGGGCTTAGAAAACTCGACTTAGTGGTGCTTGAAAACCCCTTCCATTTATGGTGGACAGGATGACATCTTCTTGCTAGTATGGTGCATATAGATGCTCCGCTCATTTTGTTTTCTGATTAAGCTGGAACAGTCTCTTACTTTCATTTAGGTAAGAGAAAAGAAAGTTATATCTGCTTCTTTCTTTTTTGGGTAAATTTTTGACAAGTAGTTTTATTTAAATTAACCCAAAATACTTTTTTTTTTATGTATCAGTAATACAATTACATGAGGAACATTATGTTTACTAGGCTCCCCTCTTCACCAAGCCCCCCCCACCCCATTAGAGTCACTGTCCATCAGCATAGTAAGATGCTGTAAAATCACTACTTGTCTTCTCTGTGTTGCACAGCCCTCCCCATGACCCCTCCACATTATACATGCTAATTGTAATGCCCCGTTTCTTTTTCCCCACCCTTATCCCTCCCCCCCACCCATCCTTCCCAGTTCCTTTCCCTTTGGTAACCGTTAGTCCATTCTTGGGTTCTGTGATTCTGCTGCTGTTTCGTTCCTTCAATTTTTCTTTGTTCTTAATAGTCCACAGATCAGTAAAATCATTTGGTACATATCTTTCTCCATCTGGCTTATTTCACTGAGTGTAATACCCTCTAGCTCCATCCATGTTGTTGCAAATGGTAGGGTTTGTTTTCTTCTTATGGCTGAATAATATTCCATTGTGTAAATGTACCACATCTTCTTCATCCATTCATCTACTGATGGACACTTAGGTTGCTTCCATTTCTTGGCTATTGTAAATAGTGCTGCGACAAACATAGGGGTGCATCTGTCTTTTTCAAACTGGGCTGTGCATTCTTAGGGTAAATTCCTAGAAGTGGAATTCCTGGATCAAATGTATTTCTATTTTGAGCTTTCTGAGGAACCTCCATACTGCTTTCCACAGTGGTTGAACTAGTTTACATTCCCACCAGCAGTGTAGGAGGGTTCCCCTTTCTCCACAACCTCGCCAACATTTGTTGCTGTTTGTCTTTTTGGCGATCCTTACTGGTGTGAGGTGATATCTCATTGTGGTTTTAATTTCCATTTCTCTGAAGACTAGTGATGAGGAGCATTTTTCATGTGTCTGTGGGC